AATAGATGAATAATAATAAATTTAAAATAATAAAAAATAATTAATTTAAGATAAATTCAAATAAAAAAATAAAAATTATTTTAAAATAAAAAGAGTAACCAATTACAATAATATACTTGACATTAGTATTAATATTAATATGCACTATTTCATTTTTTATAAGATTTAATAGTTAAAAAATTTACAATACTTACACTTTAATAGATTAAAAAATACTTATTTTTTATTTTTAAAAACTACTTTCTTTTTATGAATTTTTTAAATAAGATAAAATGTTTTTATATACGTAGGAGATGAATTTAACTTAAATTCATATACGTGTAACAAAAATAAATATATTGAAACATCTTGTTCTATTTTCTTCTTCTTCTTTTTTCTAATTGGAATAGACGTCTTGCTCTTGAATTCACTGCATGAAGGCAGATAACACCACATTCCTCTGAAACAAGGAATACCTACTCGGTATTTGTCCGTCCGTACACATGGGGTCGATGACTTCTTAATGCAAAATCAAATGACCTTGAACAGTTGTGTAACCGAAAACATCACTGTCTTCAATTAAATGATATTTCATTTCATTATGCAATCTCTGCCTTTAAAATCGAATCAAATCAAATAATAGAGCAATCTCACTGTTTTGATTTTTTTTTTTTCAAAAACAAAAAATCAAAACATCCTAACATGCCGGCTGTACATTTGGGTAGGGTTACCTGGGAAATCAAATCAAAAAGAATGAATTCGGTTCAATTTCATTAGTTTTTAAGTTTTATTGTTTTGGTTTTGATATTAATTAAACAAATTTTGGTTTGATTTTAGTTAAATTTTTTACAAACTAAAAATTGAAAATAAATTTTTTTAAAATCAAAATTTAGATAAATATAATAAAATTTAAAATAAAATATAATTTATTATTAAAAAAATTAATTAATATTTATTTAATAAATATCAAAATCAAACCAATTCATTAATAAACAAATTGATTGATTTATGAAAATTTTAATTCAATTTTAATTTTTAAAATTAAAAAAAAAATTAATTATTTGAAAATTGATTTCAATTTCAACCAAAACCAATTTTTACACACCTCTATTAACATGTCAACACTTTTACTAAGTCATCAATTACAAAAAATTTTTTTTTTTACAAGTGTAATGATTAAAAAATTAGTATGAGTTAATTGTTAGCGACTGATTCTCAGATCGGGTGAATATTTTAACCCTCCAAATAAAACGCACGGCCATCAAGTCACTCTTTGATTGAGTTCACGATGATGGTAGAATTCAAAACTCTAACCATCTCACCTAAATACTTCAAATTTGAAATCGAACCATTAGAGTTAAAATCTCAGTTACATGAATTTTAAATCAAGCTTCACGTTATAAACGCTTTAATAAACGTTTTTACATATCAAAACTTTTTGAAAATTCAAAAATCCTTTTTAAAAAAAAAATAAATGTCCAGATTAAAACTCAAATCCTACGTCTCCGAATGTTAACACGAAAACCCATGCTATGCCGAAGAGGTATGTTTTATTTTTCCTGGTCACTTTTCTTGCTTTTTGGTTTAATCCAAACAGTGTTAAAATTCCTATAAGACCAGTACATGATCCTGCCACATGGCATCTGATGTCGCCAAGTACGCATCGTTAGCCATGCAGGTGCGGCTCCCTTAATCAAACCTACCCTACGATTTTAGCTTGTACTACGATATTCTCTGAAAATTGTAGGGGACCCAAAAGATCCCATGGGATACTGTATGGCAACAGATATCTGGTACACCCAGCTGTGCCATTTCCATCAACACCACTCATTAATCGAACGGCCAGGTACGGTGTATCCGGAAGGTCTGTGATTTTGTTGTCCGATGAGGGGCCCCCGCACTTGAACGATTGACAAGTGTCCAGTACTTATTAACCATTTCTGGAGCTGCATCCCAGTACTATACTACAACAACACACCACTACTATTATGCAGTCAAAATGGATTGGTCGCTGATGTTGGTCTGTTTCAGGCCGTTTTTCTCGGCAAAAGGTAAGAACAGCTGTTAAATGTTGGTTCTTGATGGAAGAAACACTGTTTGAATGGAGCAATTACTTTTGGGGTGAGAAGTTATAATAATTATAATTTTTAATATATTATACTTATTGAATATTTTTATTTAGATAAAAAAATTTTAATTATTATTTATTTATCATATAAAATTATCGAGTTAAATTCTATGTAAAAGTTAAATTGTGACAACTAAATCTAATGAAAGTGAATATAATATTTTAAAAGGTTATAATTTAATTGATTAAAAAATTTATTTTTTTACTACTTCTCTCTTTCTATTTCTTTCAAACAAAATGTACAATTGGTAAAAAAAGAAAAGGAAAAAAAAGGAGAGATTGAACAAAATTAAAATGTTTTAATAATTAAAATATTAAGAATTATAATAAAAAATTAAAAACATCTTCTTTTTTTTTGAACAAATTGTTAAGGGACGAGCTCGAAACCTGCCCATAAAAAAAAGGGAAATACATCTCAAGCTGATTGGGCGTCAATTGGTCTAAAGGACCAGATGCAATTAAAAATATCTTTAATAAATCATCACATAAGAAAAAATCATTAAATGTATTGGAATAATTTCATAAAGTTCTAACATCTTAATTATAATTTTTCTCAAAAAAAAAATATCAATTGTGAAATATATGCACTAGTAGGTCATATGTCATAAAATTTTACTCTATTTAACTCAAAATAATAATATTTTTTTATTTTAAATTTGCCATAAATTAATTTTTATTTTTTTCAATTTCTAAAGTACGGTTAATACTTTTTATTCTACTTTAATCTTATCATATCAATTTAGTTTAACTAATTATCCTATTACAACAAATATCTTTCTATTTTTTAGTTTTTAATAGTAATATAAGTAGGGGAAAGAGAAAATCAGAATCTCCAAATGTT